GGTCTCAAGAATTAGAATAGGGTTTTGGGTTTAGGGCTTAGGGTTAAGAGTCCTTTAAAGGGATCTTCAAGGGTTGCTATACGGGTTTTGTATGGAGGGGGGGCCTTGATTAAGATGATGTTTTTTTGAGGGGGGGGGGGTAAGATATATGTAATATTTCATTGGATAGGCGAGACATGTTCATACAGGTCCGCTGGGCGTGATACCAAACCAAAAGGCTTAAGCTTTTGATAGTCTTTGGGTCTGGTTTTTGGATCCAGGGCTGAGGGGACCTGTGATCGTCGCGATGAGGTACGATGAGGTTCATTCTGGGTCTTGTGGCAGGCGCAAGCTTTTGAGGATAGGGCCTGCCTGCTTTGTAGAATTTTGAGCAGTTGTATGGGCACTTCTCTAAAATGGGGTCCCTTTTGGGGTCCTTTTTTATATGGGTGTCGCACTATATTGGGGATCTAAAAAGGGACCCGAATTCAGAGAACTACCCGTTTGCAAATTGTGTGCTTAGTTTGGTACGCCGGTGGTGAACGGGCATACTTGACATCACAGTATCAAAATCAGACCCCTTCTGTGGAAATCTGGTGACTTTAAGAACTACAATGGGCGACGTAAAGAACTAGAATGAGGTTCAGGGGTACGTTATGACGGCTATGCTGTCGCTTTATGGTTATATGGGCTCTATAAGCAAAGCGTATTCTGATTATACCGCTCCCTGTTGCGTTTAGGCCTCTGAGCGGGTCCTCTGAGCTGGTAGAAGCGCCAGGAGACCCAGGGCAATTTGCCATTGGCCTGCCACGCGTCTTACACAAAAGATTTGTCGTCGTGGGACCAAGCAAGTCGATTAGAAGCAAGCTACCAAGAAGCAGAACTTAGCCCACTATTGTGATAGCTATAACTTACAAGTACTACTACAAATCATGATCAAACTCCTTCATACAGGGGTCTCGATCATTCTGAGAAGCCTAATACTATCAAGGTAATGATATGAACTCTACGTTAAGCCCTAAAACCTAAAGTCAGAAAGTGTGGAGAAAGCTCGGACAGCTGGCCTTCTTTTTAACAAAGGCAGAGGGAAGAGCGGAAGATTTCAAAAGCAGAAAACAAGAAGGCAAAGCGTGCGGAGGGTGGGAAAGAAAATCTCCAAAAACTGTCGCCTAAACAACATGAGGGGTTAGGTGTTTAGGGGTTTAGGGTTCAGGGTCGCCTAAACAACACTGCCGGGAACATTCGCACAACAGCACGTGAAAAGACACGTTGCGCATGACGAGTGGACCTGAAGGACACATGAAACATGTTGCGAACTTGGAGGAAAGCAACATGTATCCATTTCTTAAAAATAAAGAGCCGTCTACCTCCGGCGGAAGTTTTTTTATACGCACCAGAATGTGGGATACTAGCAAAAAAACATTCAGACCCCGCTCATTTGTTAATAAAAATATTCAAAACGACCCCCGGAAAAAAAGAAAAGCAGGGAGCCCCGATACGCTCACCTTAGAAGCCCTACTTTTCACGTGGCTTCCGAAGATCCATCCTTCCTTGCTTCCCAGGTTGCAAGGGCTGTGTTTCAGGGAGTTTAGGGTTTAGGGTTTAGGGTTCAGGGTTTAGGGTTTGATTCTAACGTTCAAGGGCCTGTGCAGCAGCAGAATTTCATGACCCAAACCCTAAACCATATGCGGTGCCCTAAAAGTCAAATCCAAAGTCAACTTCGCGAGTGTCATGGAAGAGAGCCCAGGGTATATGCTCGCCCCGCGCATACACAAAAAAAAACATCTCCGAGGGTCATGGACACTTGTAACCTGGTAAGCTTACACCCTAAACTCCTAAACCCCTAAGCCCTAAACCCCTGATCCCTTTTGCAACTGGCCTGATCCCTAAACCCCTAACCCCTAAACCCCTGATCCCTAAACCCCTACTCCCTAAACCCCCAACCCTGACCCCTGAACCCCTAATCCTTTAACCCCTGAACACCTAATCCCTAAACTCCTAGTCCCTAAACCTCTAGTCCCCAAACCCCTAAACCCTCAAGCTTAAAGCCCTTGAAGAGGTAACCCTTATGGGTCATATAGGGCTCTTGTTTAAGGTCCGTCTTAAAGGCTAGTATTGGGTTCGAGAGGCCGGTTTGGGTATAGGGGCCACGTCAAGGGAACCGCCTAAAATCCGCCCTCTGAAACAATAGAAAAATCCACCCTGCCTGACTTCTCTGCCCTAAACCCTAAACCCTAAACCCTGCCTGACTTCTCTGCGGTGCATATGACACTGTTGTAGGTGATGGTGTTCGGCTGCACGCTGAGAGCCTGTTGCCACAGCACACAGCAAAGACGGCTCGGGCTCGAGGGGTAGAAGGTTAATGTAGGGGCCTTAAAAACTGTAGAATAGGGTTTTGAGGAGGTTCCTTAGAACAGTTATGGTATCATATACCCCAAAACCCTAATTCTAATTATTAAGGCCTCTATGTTAAGGGTCAAGGGTTAAGGGTGCAGGGCTTTCGAGCCCTGTTGCCGCTCGCACTCAGACATGTCCAGATGAGGCAAAGGCATTCAAACAGCTTAGGGTTTAGGGTTTGGGTAGTTTTCCAAATTAGGGTCCCGTTCTGGTTCCTTTTTATAAGAGTGCCGTACTATTTTGGGGACCTAAAAGGGGACCCTAATTAATTTAGAACTACCCATTTAGATTTTAGGGTTTAGGGTTTAGGAAACTGTGGCCGGCTGGCAGCAGCAGCTCGGCGAATATAGCCTAGGGCTAATCAACGGAGTGGGGGCCCAGGCGCGTCAAGATATGCGAAACGATCTTACATCAGGACTGGTATACATCCTAAACTTATGCCAAACCCTTTCCGCAAAACCCAGAACCCTAAACCCTTTTCAGCAAAACACGAACCCTAAAACCAGGACCCAAAACCCTACAATATGTCGGCCTGCATCTGGCAAAGGAGCCAGCCAGCAAGCTCCCACTGCGCAGCCACTTCGCAGGCAGCCACAGCGCCTTGGGTTTAAGGATTAGGGTTTTTGCAACTGACCCTAAACCCTTTTTTGCATCCGGGCTAACCCCTAAACCCTAAATACAGGGTTCAGGGATTAGTTCAGGGTTTCGGTTTGCGTATTTGAGCTAACATGACCACAACTGCCTGGGAGCTGCTATAATTGTAATGGCCGAAACCTCATACTTCGGCCTCTCGTGGTTCCACAGTATACCTTCGACAGCTCGGGTATCCGTTTTCCTACTATTCAGTTCTAAAGAATCCCAACAACCAAACCCCTAAAGCTTAAACCTCAAACCCCTAAACCCAAAACCCCTAAACCCTAAGCCCCGTTTTGCAACAGGCTTTCCACTTCGCCCGGAGTTGGAGCAAGCAAGCAACCCTAGAAGCTACACCCTAAACCCCAAGCCCTAAACCTTGAACCCCTAAACCCCAAACCCTGAAGATTCCACGACGTCATGCTCTTCCAGAGTCGCGCCTCGGCTTTCTCTCCGAAACCTGAAGTCTGAAACGCCGGTCCCGGTGCTGCTTGCGACGGCGGTAACATAAGGAGCTGCGTTTAAGTTTTCGACGCTCACTCTCGCACAAGACAGGCAAGGCTCCCTTTTAAGGTTAGAGTTTAGGGTTTAGGATTTACAGTAGCACAGGAACAGCAGAACATCTACGAATCTTGCGGTTTGGAGATTAGGGCCCAAAAGGTTTGGGAACAAGTTCTGATGTTCGGTACAGCGCTGCTTCACTTCGTGCTGGGCCTGTGGCATAAATCCAACAAGAGACCTTACTGGCTTGCCCCCAGATGGACATTCACATGCATTAGTTGCAACGAACTGCAACCGACTAGGTACATTCGCTGAAGCCTTAACCTAAACCGACGAGGCACTATTGAAGCTGATCACATCCTTCTCGATGGTGAAGCTGTCCATAACGCCCTTGGGCTGTCCAGGGCTGACATTCACTTGACAACCTTTCACCCCAGTGCTCAGTGTCGCATGCATGCTTGGTGGCTGCGAAGCCCGCTGATTGCGCTGGAGTTTAACGTCTAGTACAGAAGGAAAGAGAACTCGCCGAAAGCAGGACGAAGGCACAGGAATAGAAAAGGAGAGGGAAGGTTCAAACCCCCTGAACCCTAAACCATAACCCATAAAACGACCTCTGGGATCCCACTTGCCATGCGAGCTTGTGATTCCACTGCTGAAATCTCCGAAATCTCTGTTCCCCCTGCCCTACAAAGCATCTTGGCACAAAGCTCGAAGAGGCCGTGGGGCGAGCTGCTCGAAACCAGAAAAGTGCCAAAGACAACAACAGCAGACATAGTGATAGGGTTTAGGGTTTAATTTAGGGTTCAGACATAGTGATAGCACCAGCAGCAGTAGCTGTCGTCAAGCCACAGACGCAGCCGCAGTAACTGCAATGGCAGTCTCTCTCTCTCTCACTCTCTCACTCTCTCTCTCTCTCTCTGCTCAGGGGCTCCTGTCAGAATGCTCAACCCTAAGCACTTTTGCAACTGGCTTGCCCAGAACCCCAAACCCTCTTTTGCAGCAGGCTTCTCTCGCCCGGAACTGCCGTCGTCGTGAAACCCCGAACACTAAACCCTAAACCCCAAACCCTAAACCCCAAACCCTAAACCCTAAACCCTGAACCCCTAAACCCTAAACCCTCAACCTGCAACCGGCTCGCCAAGAGCTCCAGAGCCGCAGACCATCGGCCGCCCACACCGCAGGCACTGATAGCACCGTTCAAGCACAAAAGATTCCTGGAGGACGGGGTTTAGGGTTTAGGGTTTAGGAAGTTTAGGGTTTAGGGTCTAGGGAGAGGGGGTTTAGGGTTCAGGGCTTAAGTTTACGGCAGGGGGTTTCGTGAAAGGTGCCTCTCGGCTAAATGGTTTAGGATTCAGATGAAAGGGCTTCCTCAGTAGATCTCACAAAAACCCTAAACCTATGGACACTCGAAGATCCGGGCTTGGTGTTTCGCTGGACCCTTGTTGGGGAACTTATCTTAATGCTTCGTAATGAGGACATGTAAGCATATACAACAAATAATGCAATTTCCCCGTGGCAGCAGCTGAAGCAGCAAGAGCTCTGTCGGGGCTTTCAGGTTGAGAAAACAGCGGTTTTCGAGGCTTTAGGGAGCATTGGGTGGCCAGGGCCTGTGCTCTTCTGGGTTTAGGGACGAGTCCGCACCCTGACTGGCAAGCCGACAACCCGTAGACGCCGTAAACGACCCAAGAAGCCCTCAAATCTCGGGTCGCCACCCCCACCCGGACAACTATTCCCGGTAAATCCCAAAGCCTACAGCATCCCTAAATCCAAGTTGAACCCTAAACCCTAAACCC